GGAAAATTTTCTAAGGTGGAAGTTTTTTTGACCCCGATGCAGACACACACACAAACTATTTTTTTTCATATGACCCTTCCTACAGGCGAGGGAATATACGTAAATAATAAATCACTGTAGCAAAAGTGAGAATGAGTGCCTATTAATACGGCTAGTCTCACTCATACTGATATCCCTCGATTTTGACAAATAATATGCTCGTCAAAGCGTGATCTTTACGATCCTTCGAATATTATTAGTGCAATACTATCTTCAATTTCTCAAAACATCCAATTTTCATGTAAAATGCTTAGTGATAGTAATTCTGATTGCCAGCCGTTGAAAAATGAGCGTATAGTTTGAATACGTGTGATGATGTTAAATTTTCATTTCAATTAATGAACTTTCGATTCATCTTGGGTAATATGAATTTTTTCTTGTTCATAGTCAATTATTTTGTTTTTTTTACTTTGAATGTTTTCCTGTTGCTATGTACAGTCTTTTTTAATAGAGTGTCTAGTTGAAAGGAATTCAAAAAAGAAAAACGAAAAGAAACAAAGAGACAAAGAGACAAAAATCGGCAGGGATAGAGCGTAAAATGTTGCCATGATTCGAAAATAAGAAATGAATCATTCGACAAAAAAATAGATTTGTTTGATATACACAACCGGTATCACTGAAAATTATTCGGTATAGTTAGTTTTGACTACTTTCTTTTGATGAATAATTTCTGAGGAGAATTTCTAAGACTAGAAAGAGTATTTTAGACGTCATAAATAAATAGAGCTAATATATGATAGGGACACTGATTACTGAGGATTTCGACTAATATGAAATCGATGTCCATGATTGACTTCAGTTCATCATGTCGACTGATAATGATTTGCCGATCAATATCCTAGTCAATTCACCTTGTTGCACTCCTTTTTTTTGTTCCACTCAATTCATTATCTTTGGTTAATACAGACTATGATCGAGCTATTAAGATAATTTAATTTGAAATTTCACGAGAAAAGGCATAAACATAGTATGACGAAATTGTCGAAATATGGCTGCGACTGTAGGCGAATATCTTCTTTTCACAAATGCTTTAGTCAACATGAGAAAACAACTGTGAGCCACAGAACTATGCCTCAGCATGGCCGAATGAGAATTGTGGTCACACAACATGAACTGGAAGCGAAGGCAACAAGCTTCTAATTAAGTAGTCACACGAGAAAGTGATGACTAATGAGGCATACTGGGATGCATCAAAAAGATGATCAGAGTTTCTTGTCATAGGCCAATGTGGCATAATTAGAACATGAGATATCTAATCAATAATAACAGTATCAATGTGAACGCGCTCTGTTGGCTTCTACATTAATGTGAAAGTCTGTGTACTGAAAGACTTCAAATTACCGAGAAATGTATGAAAGCAACCGAATAAGGCTCATTTCATGCCGCAAGTTCTGAGATAGCCAGATGATTGAATATCTTTAGCATATGCTCAAATATTAGAACGTGATGCAAGTGTAAAGCTTCCGATCACACAGCATTACGGAATCCTGATGACAAATAATTTGAGATCATAGAAGATTCGTCAAAATAAAGGTCAAATCCGCGATAGAGTATGGAAGTTCCAGATAGGACTCACATGAATCTTCGTACCGCAAAGCAATTTAAAAGGCTACTCAGAAAAATTTCCGTTCGAGTACCGATTCGTGCGGATTAGAGTAATAGTAGCTAGACAACGAAGAAACTATTGATTCTACGAGCGACAAACAACAAGCAAGAAAGCGCTGCAGGCTTTACCGCAACGCCAGCAAATAATAAGAGCACCAGTTAAACGACAAAAATTTTTTAGAGTAAGTGCTGAAAGCTCTTCAAAATGCTTATCGATGTTCGACAATGTGAGAAAAGTAGTCAAGTCACATGGCGGTATCTCAGAACTGGCAAAAAAGGGCCTAAATCATAGTATAGCTCATAATATGTTGTCGCAAAAGCTTTAGTTCACTGAGTGATACTCACTTGTATCGCAAGAATAAACCGAAAAGCTTGTTAGAACTACGTAGTGTCTGAGAATGATTATAAAAACTGAGAAGCCGTCCGACGGTTAATAAACCAAAGCCAACTAGTTTTATGCCACCAAAACTTGGAAGAGACTATTGTATCAATCGCAGAAATACTGTGCAAATGCTGCGACCGAAAAACAATGAACACGCAAGACCAACTAAGATTGTGTGTGACATTCGTTATGTTAAAGAGTGCCACTCATGATCTATCTAAAATCTTTCTGAGTACTAGCCCATCACTACTGGGCGGGATGGAAAATCAGTGGTCAGCATAGTGCTTTATAAAAGTAAGCCTGGAAAGCATTTTTTAGTTCTGTGCGACACAAAAAAAAATGATGAAAAATGACTGAAGATACACAGAAATTAGTCAGAAAGATTCCAAATTTGACGTCACATAAGAGTTGACAGAGAGCTTTGAATAAAGCTCCAACAAACTGTGTAACTGTTGTAATCGACTAATAGAAAGCAGACATCGATCCGTGAAACTATGCTGAAAAAGCGGTATGTGGGTGTTGGTGTGAGTATTGATCAGTCATTTACCCTCACACCCCCACCCAAAGAATGAAAAGAAATAATTAGGGTATAACATATGAAAGTATAGCAGAAAAAGCCAACCATTGATGTGTTCCAGTTAGTGGGGAGACAGACAATAGATGGTGTATTCACATATTTGCACAAATCCTTAATAGACATCATTAATCAACAGGATTTAGTATGACATACAGCCTAAAATAAATATTTAGTAAATATAGAACGAGCAAAGAAGATTAAAATACAATTAAAAACAATTTATTTTAGATTTAGTTTGGTTCTTCTTTGGTCGTTCTATATTTACTAAATATTTATTATAGACTGCATACTAAACTGAATTCCATTGACTGATAATGTCAAAATAGTTGACCAAGCCTCTGGAAATAAAATAAAACGGTTTAAATCGTATATAGTCATTCGTCTATTTTGTTTGCATCAGTAAATAATTGAATATTTCACAGTAAGTCATGATGTTATATAAAGGATAAAAATTTTCAAAAAAATTATGTCAACATGTCATAGGTATGACAATTAGATTAAATTACTGCAAACCGCCATCTACTAGAAATAGGTATTAAAATTAGTGGAAAAAGACGTCGTAGTAAACCATCAGCAAAAAATACTGAGTGTATTATCCAAAATATACTGAGCATTCATCATAAAATGCTGAACAGCATGATACAAGCTCTAAAAATCAGCACTTCAACCAAGAGAGACCGGGTCCTGACGGGAGCATATATCAAGAATCGAGTGATCGATTGAGCTGATCTTTTTTCAGAACATATATCTTGATGAGTTATAACCAACATGTAATTTTCAACTCAAAATATTGAGTCCTTAACTTTTTATTACTCATCCAGTATGAGCAAAACCTCATAGGTTAGACAACTTTTGTGCTTCATAACTCGTGATAGGAATAAGACAGAGGTCTGAAATTTCCAGTAGGCCTAGACTTATTGGCGATGTATATCTCCTACAAATTCCAGCTCTACATACTTTTCGTTTCGATCAGCAGAAATCTCTCAGAAATGGCTTTTTTGATTAAAATCATGAATTTCAGACGAGACTTTCTTCTAAGAAATGAGGTAGTTTGAGGGTTGAGTTTAAGAAAATAGAAGAGTCATCTGAAATGTACAATTTCATGGTAAAATCTATCTGGGCAATCCACAGACGACTGGCAGCAAAGGTCATCTTTAAGAAGTTCGAATTGAATATGTCAGGCAGTCGATATATACAAATCTCATGAGTGAATCATGTTGGAGAGCTGAAATTTTGGCTGTGAACAGATCTCATTGAATACTACTCTGGTAAAAAATTCAACTCTCTAGATTAATTTCCATCGCTCAGGAGACTTTTCACAAAATCATGACTTCCACCTAAATCACGATTATGGCTGGGTTGAGTTTCCCTAGAAATCAATCCTATAAAAAATGGAATTTGTACCATTTTAAAGTACACATATAATATTACAAAGCTATGCAAGGATTAGCCTGGGTTCTTGTCGAATAGTCTGCGGAGACTTATAGAAAGATACTCAAGAAAAACTCCTTTCCATAGAGATTATACCCGAGCTTGTTCCGAAATTAATAGAAACATGTCATCGTCTATAATAACTTCTATCCAGTATGAACCACCAATATGAGTCTATCTCGATTCCCATAAAAAGGTCCTTCAAAATGAGAAGAATATTTCCGACAAGCTACTGTACCTCCAACCAGAGCTTTTGAAGCAAAGGCCTTTTTCGAAATGTTTTTTTTTGTCATTTTCAAAAGACCTTTTTATGGAAATCAATAGACAGTCATATGGTGATTTATATTGGATAGAATTTATTTCAGATGATGAAATTTTTCTAATAAGTTGCCTAAAATATGAATTTTTGCTCATATTGGATGAGCAATCAAATATTAAGGGCTCAATATTTTGAGTTGAAAAATATCTGTTGGCTATAACTCATGAAGATATATGTTAATAAAAATTTCAGCTCAATCGGTGCTGTCAGGACCCTTGGCTGACGTGCTGGTTTTTACTACTTTACGTAAAACAGCCATAAAAAAAGCCACAGTTTAATATTTTTCAAAACGACTTGCGCTAAAATTCAAAAAACTCTTCCATCTATGAAATTATTTTACATTGAGCAAAATCTGACGACCTCGTTTGAACAGCTCTAGTCGTGGCTTACGTAGAATGACTCATAAGTGACTTGCAGACAAATTTTGAAGACAGTGTTCATACACTCTTTTGTTAGTATCACGAACAGAATATTAGGGAAAAAAAGAAATGTCTCATTTTTCCATTATTGAATAAATAGAAAGTACTGATAAAGTTTCTTTTTAATGTTTTACAGAATAACAAACCAAAAATATCTATATCAATTACTTCGGATTCGCAAGAATCATATTTTCATAAACGCGCAACAGCAAATAAAAACTGTACACGATGAACCGTTTTAGTGATATCGATCTTTCATTTAAAAGACTTCCTCCTGTTTATGGTTATCGCAGTGAAAAACTTGTTCCAATTGAAAAAGCACTAGAACCTATCCAGTCTCAAATTGATGAACTACCTTATTACATAAAGATAGCTAAGCAGTATTGTCATTTTCCGTCAGAACATGAACTATCACATGATGAATCTGCTGCTGTTTATATCTATACTATGGAATGGGGAGAAACTTCTTTGTATCGTGTTTTGAATAATGCATTACGATCTGAAAATCGACAAGCACTAAAGATATGGTTTCCATATTTAAAGCTATTTGATACAGCGTTGGAGAAGTTACCTACTGTCAAAGAGGCAGTATGGAGAGGTGTACCTATTGATATTGGCAAAAACTTCTCCAAAGACCAAATCTTAACGTGGTGGACTGTTAATTCATGTTCTTCATCAGTCAACATTATTGAAAGATTTCTTGGTGATGACAAAAATGCAACTCTTTTTTTAATTGAAGCTATTAATGGAAAGAAGATTTCTGGATATACAGAACATGAAAGTGAAGATGAAGTTATTTTACGAATGGGTTCAAAATTCCGCGTGAAGAGCGATGCTTTAAAACACTCAAATGGGTCACATCTTGTGCATTTACTAGAAATTGATGATGTTCCACCACCACCACCTCCACCAAGTAAGTTATTCATGTTTTTTCTCAATGAACTAAGGCTTTTAATACTGATTAACGTGTATATGGTAAAAAAAAGAAATCAGGTAACTCTGAAAATATTTGTTCTATAAATAAAATGTTGTCATAACAAAATTCTGACAAATACAACAACAATAATTTGCTCTTTTATAAATGAAACTTTTTTCACGAGTCATTATCATCAAGAACATAGTAATCAATAGAATTTAATCGTTTTAACATCCTCAAGTAATTTGATTCAACCGGTAGATTTGACATTGAACTGCCATAAAAAAAAATCATGTCTTGCATCAAAACCTAGTCGAACTAGGCCGAGATTTGGTGAAGAGAGATCGTTCTGGATCATTTCACCTTTAGTAATTCTGTCAAGGCGAACTCCTCAGTCTTTCTTTATCAAAAAGTTCGACGACATCCGGATGAGAGATAAAGAAATTCTCTTGACCATCATTCTTAGTCTTTCACTTATATACTCATTCGTGTCTGTCGATTCTTAATCTCTTAGAATGTTATAACTTCCTTGAGTTGCCTGAGTTCCAAAAGTCCTTTCAATCTAAACAAATTTTCGTATTGTGACAAACTCAGAATATAGATTTTCTGAACCAATCTTGCGAGACTTGTTGAGAATTTTATCAAGTTGAAATTTGGTATCTATAACTTGCCAATATCCTTTAGACTTTCCAATTAATGAAATCGCTAGGAACTCTGTCATGAATCTTCTGAAATATTAGGTTTCTAAGATCATTCTCTGAGCCGTACCCACATCAAAAGTTTAGAAATCATATTGAGATCTCACAGATTGACTTAGTATTCTTACAGCACATAGATACATCTAAGTTAGGAATAAATGAAATATTTCAGTTTGAAAGAATCAAGCATTCTGGAGATACAAACGTTGTAATTAATTAGTAGGCACTTAACTCAATTTGGAACATTTCATAGACCTATACTTTTTAGTAAATTACCATTTTCTAAAGAACAATGAAAGTACTAGCAATACTTGTTTTTCTATAACTACTAAAGATCATGGGTCACGTTTTCGTAGTAATGAAATTGACTTATTGATTAATACATTTTTGATTGGTATTATATGCCATTTACAGAATAAATGACAATGCTGATAAAGCAAGTGAATCAAATGAGCACCATACATTAGCCTGAGAGTAATTTTGTTTGAAAATATACATCGCACGACTAGATTTGTGGGTGTGGATGATGCGCAAAGTAATGTGTTCGATAAAAATTGTGGGATCATCAAAAACACGACATCTATGTATGAGAGATAATATCATTGATTTATTGTAGAGAGATATTGTTCTAAAACATTTTTTTAATCATTTGTCTGGCTTTTGTGGTTCATGACGAGTGAAGAATAGAATACTTTTGAAATTTATCAAGACTTTCAAGTGAAATTAAACCTCTGACAATGATGTGTATTTGAACTCAAATGAGAGATTTATAAAATAATTTTCACCGCAACCTCTCATGGAAGGTCGCTGGTTTTTTTGCGGGAGTTTCGTACCAATAATAAGCTTCAATTGGAGAATATAGCGACGGTAATCGAATCCGTAATCGTCGAGTTCTCAGTCACAGAAAGACCGAATTTAGCTGAAAAATCGTAGCAAAATAACCACAGTCAATATAACAGTAAACAGGTAGATGAGTCTTATCGCTGATGTCAAATTTTTGTATATCGTGGTATATCCTTAGTGTTATGCTCGCTCACGAAAATAAGTCTTTACGAATTTTTACATATAAATATTCTCGAATGATAGAAATCCTTGAAAATGCTTTTGAAGCGTTTGTCTTTCTTCAGAAAGATCGTATTTATATCACATATGAAAAGTCAGAGAGCGGGAATAAGAGAAAAAGGTTGTTATTCGCTCTCCGTGAGAAAAAACACCTGAGATTTGTATTGTGCCACAAACTTGGGGATTGTGCAAAATAGAAAGGTAAACATGAATGTTCGGAACAACAAACAATGTTTTGTTGGTAACAATATAAATTTTTCTACCGAGTTATTTCCGGATGTAGAACTTGCAAGGCGGATTCTTGGATAGGCTTAGAACCGGATGGCACAAATAAAAGCTTTTCGAGAGCTTTTTATTCTTCGAAATAATATCTCTGAACACTATACGTGCGCTATTGTGAAAACTTTGAATAGTTTCGATTATCGCATAGCTGAATAACGTAGAAATGGACCTGCTTTCCCAAGTTTCTCTGATGTATTGAACTTTTTCATTTAGAATCGTCGCTACCTTGCGGTGGTCGTGCTTGTCCTGTCTGTGATCGTTGTATTGATTGGGACTATGATGCGAGTCGTACTCTACGTTACCAACTTGTACCTGATGCTACATGTACTTATCGTCATTTTGATGCTCATATTGTTGCTGATTTTCTCTTTTTTGGTTCTGCTGGTTTTTGTCACCATCTATGTACATGTAAAAGCTACAAATGAAGATGAATACTTAATAGATTCTTGATGCATTTGTAATTTTGTAGAATAAATCAAAGTACAAGCATAGAAATTATGATGTCCATCAGCCGATGACGTACAATGTTTCTCTATCATTGAGGGTGTGGGTGTGGTTCTTGCCATTAACAGAATTGACATTCTGAAAACTAATCACATACCAACAAAATATCTGATTGCTTGACCTCGTCTATGTAAAAGAAAGCGAAAATGCAAGATTATTCCAATTTTTATTCATAGTAAAAAGAAAAGATTAAGAAACAAAACTAGCAAACAATAAATAAATAGGGTACATATAACATTTCAATAAAAAAATTTGTAAACGACCGATATGATAATGCGTATTGTTGTCTATATTATTCCGAGAAAAAGATAACTATGTCAATCGTTCGAAATAAATCACAATTAAACACACACATACGGAAAGAAAGATAGATGACACAAAATTCAAATCTATTGTTGTAAAGAAGACACATCTACATTATCAGCATGTCGAAACTCATGTTAATCAACAATTTTCTTTTGTTTTTTCTTAGAAAGGAAGGTCGATGAACATATGTTGTAACATGGCAAAGTTCTAGATGAGTAAACCAATTACAAAATACAGTCATTAAAACGTACACAACATCAGTAAAATGTAGGAATGCACGGTTCCGGTTTTTACCGGTTCTACAGAACCGAAACCGATTTAACTGATGGAACCGATAAGAACCGACACCAGAACTGATGAGAATCGGTTGGAACCGGTTCTGATCGGTTTTGGTTCCATATCAGTTCTTATCGGTTTCGGTTTCGGTTCTTATCGGTTCCAATCGGTTCCATCGGTTTCGGTTCTAAAACCGGAACTGGTTTCGGTGCAACCCTATATGTTTTTATGATTTCTCAGTATAGTAACTTCCTTTGCATTTTTCTCAAGAATTGCTTCTAATAAACATGTTACATGTTTTATTGTATTTGTTCTATGAGCTTCACTATTAATTGTCATTGTTGTTTTCATTAACTGTGTTCATTCTCTTTCTTCAATATCACCATCAATTAATCAAAACGCATACTCAAGGGATTTTTAGTATATATTCATATTTAAATCTTTATATAACCTTACGAAGTATCAAAAATAGTAAGTTACTTCGCTCGTATCATTTGGAAGTTCTTCAATAACTCCTAATTCTATGGCATATTATTCATTGAATTCATGATCTTGACCGGATAAAGCTGTGTATAGCAGAGCTCCGCGGGACAACAAAAAAATCGTCCCACTCCGTCCTGTTCCTGAGCCTCTGAAAAGTTCTGTTTTTTAGACGAAAGCAGAAATGTTAAAAAAAAAAGGTTCTGAACATAAAAAATGCTTCTGGCATCCTCGTCGAAACTTTTTTCCTGGCCAGAGCTTTTTACCAGAGTTATGATTCCCAAATAAAACACAGAACCTTTTAGAAGCCTAAAATGTTTTGTAAATCTCCTTTATTTTCTTCCAGAACACCGATAACCCTGCTTCATATACACGTGCCGAGACGAGACTTATCCTGCGTCCTCCGGAGCTCTGGTACCCATAATCCACACCAATTAGCGATATGTTTTAAAAATGAAAATGACTTTCTTATGAATTTAATTCCAATTCAATGAACTTTTCTCTCTTGTTAATTTTCGAAGAAACAGATCTATACTCTCTAATAGGATATAGGAATTCTAATCTATTTATATGTATAACTGTATATAAATGAATCAAATCTTTTACAACTGAATAAAACAAACGTAAGATTACAATAAACTAAATGGAGTATATATATTAAAGCAAACTAACAGGTTTAATTATTGTTTTTCGTCATTAATTGATTCACACAAATAAAATTCTACATGATGACTAGTGAACAAAATAAAATCAATTATATATATCAGACAAATAAAATGATGATCGTTGATTTTTTATTTCTATTTTTGTACATGTAGATTTCATGGTAATCCATGATGTGTTGTATTTGCGTAATTTTTTTCAAGATACTTAATAAAAGCTCGTGTTATTGTTGTATGTGTAGCTAAAGTTTGCGATAAATATTTTAATTCTGTATTTTGTATAAAATATGGTATAGAAACAATTGTTAATGTTAAACCTTCACTATCAATCGGTTGTCGACTTTGTTGAAGATACCATTTTTCTTCTCGACTATCATATTCTACACCAGCATAGGATATAAACATTCCAGTATTTACATTCATTAAACCACGATTTAAAACTTTAGTAAGTATTGAACCATTAACACGTAATGATATTATATTAGCTGAAAATGGTAAACAACGCAATACATCATATTGAGTTATTATACCCATTAATTGATCATCAATACGTATAGCACCTGCATTAAATACACATATTGTTGTATTAGCTTCATCCATCATAGCATTACATAATGCTATTGTTAGATGTGTTTGTTGAGCACGTATGACTGCTGAACGTCCATCAAAATTAAGTCCAGCAGGCAAAACACATATGATACGTTCAGGTACATAACCTAGAGAAAACGTAAATAGATGAAAGACTTCATATGGAAACCACTCGAAATGATATCTTGCGCCTGACATGAGTTCTAGTTTTTATGTAGGTTTTATAGATATCTTCAGAAGAGGCAATTCTTTTTGGCTGACATTTCTAGGAGATTCTAATGACTATAAGAGCTGTCTTTCGGCAAAGTTTGTTTGTCCAGTTTTTGTTAACAAATAAAGTGCACAAGATAAAACAGTCATAACTCCAAAGAAGCAGCGCATCGGGAGGAATACGTCTATGTTTCTTCTCATCTCAAGTGCCCGGTAACATGCCAGATGGTTCTCAGGTTAACAGTGCGGTAGAATATTTTATATAATACAATTCGATAATTTATATGTAATCATGAGAAATTTTCATTCAACTAGTTCTTACTTGATTAATGATTCAACTCACAATTTTTGTATTCAATCTCTGTCTACAAGTATGTGATAGAATAAAAATGATGTTTTTATAGAAGCATCTTGTATGAGAGTTCATTAATAAATAGTAGTATTCATCGCATGAAAGTTCTTTTTGAGCATCGTTTATCAATGTATCCAGTGTACATTCCTGATTTTCTTAAAACTTCCTTTCCCCCAAAAAGGGCGCTTCTCTTTAAAAAAAATGACAGTTTTTGAGATAAAACATAAGAACATGACCTCTAAGGTGATCAAGTTTGAAAACTCATAAGAATGACTTTCTATTTGAAAAGTTTTCTTCACAAATGATAATGAATTTCTAGAGCTCTCCATAAAAAAAATTGAAAGCGCTATCGCAGCTACTGTTCCTTATCGTAGTCCAATGTGTAGCTGAAGGGTCGCTCGATAAAACTCTAGATACATTTTTAGTCGACATATAAAATATAATCATATTTGATGCTTTTGTCATAAAGTTCTTCAGGTAAGCATATTAAAAAAATGCTTGCGTGATTAAATATATGCTTTATAAAGTTGAAAGCATAAGATCAATTAGGAGTAGTCTGAATTAACTTTAGACTATATATTTATAGTCATCTTAGTCAGTCTATCTACTTTTTCTTGAGAAGAGTTTTTTTTTGTTATATAGACAAAATTGAATTCTTCTCACACCAATGTTAAAGCTGTATAAAACTGCACTCTGTTTTTTTTTTACTAATTTTCATCATTATAATTCAGTTTTAGAGCAAAATGAATTGCACATTCGAAATCGATGCAAAAAAAAACTACAGCAGAACAGATATATCTTAGTAAAATATATTCTTTATGAAAAATCGATCCTGAGAGGTACTACAACCAAATTTTTCGCAGAAAAAAAAACAAATTTTATCCAAATATATTTAAGTCGATCTAGATTTTTGCAATGATTTCAAATATCTTATTAATTTTTAATATAAAGTACATGATAAATCGAAAAACGTATGATTAATCTAGTAATTACCATCATCTCTATAGGCTTGTAAACCAGCTTGATAAAAATAATTTGCTACTTTAGCTGTTTCAGGTTCTTCTGAAAAAAGTGGTGATACTGGTGTTAATTGAGAAAAAATTAATAATTGTTTTGTTGTTGGTTGATATGCAAATCGATGAATAAATACAGTAAATCCATTATCATCTGCTTTATATATTGGTGTATATTTTGATCCACGTTTTAAATAATAATTTTCATGGTCATGTCCACCCATAACTGCATCAATAGCAGGATTATATTCAACTACTTCAATATCATTTTGCATATTTAAATGTGTTAAACAAATAAATACATCCCATTCTAATTTTAATTCATAACGAAGATATTTTATATAATTTGCTGTAAATTGTGGTAAAGTATGTTGAGATGTTATATTAACATAAGTTTTAGATGTTGCTTGTCCTGTATTCTCATCAATTGTTAAACCAATAAGAAGAATTTTTATATTTGATATTGTTATAATTTTATATGGTATGACAGTATGAAATGGTTTGGTTGAATTAAGTTCATAAACATTTGAGGCTATCCATTGAAATCGTGATTCATTCAAACGACGTCTTATTGATGATTCTTTTAAATCAAATTCATGATTACCTAATGTTGCATAATCAAGACCAAGTACGTTCAAGGCAGCAATCATTTGTTTTCCATTTAGCATTGATCCATTTACAATGCTATTACCTTTAATATTCAAATAGAAAAGAAATATTTAAATAATTGAAAGCTAGAAAAAAGAACATTTTTGTTTTTTTTTTCCTGTTCGAGATCTATTATTAAACTAGAGCTGGTTAAAATAGTCAAAGTACGCATGCTCGAATATAGAAAGGTGCGAAATGACTCAAAAATTGATCCAGAGACGTTGCAAAATAAATATTTGCACTGTTATCAAATGTCGTTACTGAATTGATTTAAACACATGGAACATTTTAAGAATAAAAAAAAACAGTCTTATCCATTATCGTCTTTTCAAATAAAATACCTTGTATGTGACGGCATTGAACATATGTTCGAAATTAACTCTACATTAAATGCAGCTCGTCTCTTATCAAGAAAGTCGAGACTATGTGTACTATGTAGACTTCAATAAGCTATGAATAGGAATGAGATTGGTTCGGTTTAAACTTCGAAAAAATCGGAAAAAATGATTTTCAAATTTTTTGTTTAAAATTTTGCATAGATAGAAACTTTAATACGAAAAGTTTATTGTTAATGTTGCAGATCTCGTCGCTGTTTGTATCCTAAGATACAACTACGGTAATAGAGTGTTGTTCTTACATCATTCATATAAATCAACCGATTTTATGCTCTTATTTTAAGATGGAAGAAACTTTAAAGACCTGAAAGTTTCATAATAAACTATTCTCGTGAAGACATGTGATTGTACAAAGTTTCGAGTCGAAATTCGAGAATTAATTTTTCTAGAACATGGCATTCATTTTACAAAATACCATCAAACTGCAGTATCTCTCTTGTTAAGCTATCCATAGTTAATTTAAATTCATATAATCCTGATTCAAAAGCGTTTTATCAGTTGGAAAATTTCCCTTGTTAGGTATCGTATAAACAAACATTAATAAATCATGACATTGCTGAAAAGTCATTATAAACATTATCATGTGTCAATAATAAACTGTCGATCATATTTCTCTTTTTCTATTTCTAAAGTACAGAAAAGTCTCAATTAGCTTTATCTGTTATGATATGTTGACAAGAATAATAAACCAAAATAACAAATTTATGCATTGTATTGATAGAACGTATTAGAATATATACATTCTAATTATGATTAATGATCTTTGTAATATTATAAAAATCAACAGCTTTCATGGATGCGCAACATATTGTTTTGACTCTGACGAATTCAATTGTATTTAATGATAATGAGTTATGTAAAGACAACTGATGGTTATTCAATAGTTTGACTGTTAAATTCATTTTTTGGGGAGGTTCTACTAGTTCAAAATATGCTGTTGTATATGTATCTCACCAGATATCTAATGAATAATTGTTGAAAAGTATACGTATATAGCAGCTGTATTCAATTTATTAATATAATGCATATGATAACGGTTTGCATGTAGAAAAAAAGAGACAGATACTGATCTTGATAAACAAAAAAACGCATGAAATATAGCTGACTATACTCAATATGATAACGACAAAATCAATCGAATGATTTGTTTATTCATTAGATGATCTTAATTAAATAGAAGTAAACGTAAGACAGCTGTCTTTTTCATATATTTACATATCATAGATTATTTCATCTTGTTATTATTATACTCTACGTACAAAATGTTGCTAGAATCTTCTCATTTAAATTATAATGAAAGAAACCAATTTTATTATATTTGATAATTTTAAAATAAATATTTTTTTCTCATACCTAAAGCTGATGGACTAACAACATCACCAGCTAGAATTGTAATTGTATTTGGATTTTCTTGAAGAAGTAATTTTCGTATTGTTGCTACACGAGCTAAACCACCTTTTTTACCACCACTTAATGGTATAAGTTCATAAACATCATTCATTTGAAGAAATGTCCATTGTATATATGAATGTGGATTATTAAGTTTAGGTGGTGAACCAATTTCATCAAGAAATGAATGTAATTTTTGATCGGTATCAACAAATGATGTAACATTATTAATTTGAGTCGTATGTTTATGTGTGGATCTATCATATACAATTGGATCTATTTTATGAAACCAACCAATTATAGCAATAACAACAGATATTAATAAAAGAGATATTAAGAAACAGAATTGCCAAATACTTAATTCAATTTTATTTCGACAAACCATATTTGACGGAAGATAAAAGGTTTTTTTGTTTAATATACAATCAATAAAGTAATATTTGTCTATCGTTATTCAAATTTCAATTGCATGCATATTAATAACCGCTTCAATATTGCATTCTTTTTATTTATTTTGTTTTTTGACTTTACACTTTTCTTCCTTGACTTAATTTTGATAAGCTACTTAGGTAAGTGTTAACAACATACATGAATGATTATATAGGCGATGAAAAAATCAATACAATGGTGTCCTTCACTTGAATAATAATCCTTTTGAAGTTGTATGTTTTGTTTCTGTTTTCTAAATAGAATTATCATAATAATCAAGTGCATCTATATTGTTGAAAATATGATGTGTAAATGTTCTTTTTTTTTCTTTTTTAACAGATATACATATATATTGAAAGTAATGTATAAAGGATGAGTTCGAACGTGCACGCATTATATTCTGAATCAAATACTTACTGATACAGTTTAGTAGGCAATACTATAATGAAAAAAAAAACACTTTCTTCTTTTGCTGTTGTTAATGAATAAGTTTGTTCAATTTGTAAAAGAAAACCAGAAGTCTTCGTTATAATTCTGTGAGACGTTTACGAATTCAACAATCTTTAAATTACAAACAGATATACTAATTGTGTTATCTAGCTGAATATTTAGTATACATAGAAATATTAAGGATGAAAGAGAGAAAACAGAAAAAGAAAAAGATATGTGATGTCAACCAACAAGAAAGCGATACATCGGACATTTAACAGTCATAGAAAAATAGCACCACTAATTGACTACAAATCTTAACCAGTCGGAAACATTTCAACAAGTAAACTTGTCAATGAAAAAGAAGAGCCAGAACATTGATGATATATACAAAATAAAATAATTATTCCAAAACTACTGAATCAAATTATATAGAAACAATTGATAGTTTCTCATGTTTCTTTTGATTTTAACAGTTAGTTTTTACTTTTTGTTTTTACCAACAAACTATTTTCCGTAAAACCGTTTATTAAGAAACGATCCACGACTCCATCGAACATGGTCATACTCTCGAAAAATTTCACCCCTATATTTTATCATTGGAAATGAGAGAACAAAGTGAGAAATCTATAAATCCAAAATTTTAGCTCATTCTGACTTACCGATGAAAAGTTATGAAGTACAAACTGAAAGCACTCTCAACAGGTTTAGAAAAAACTTTTTTTTTTGAAAAATATGCTAGATTAGTATTTTCTCATTTTTTTCACAGTGAATTCTCACAATCTTTTCGAGTAATATACCAACTGATAGAGCGAATTGCTCTCTACAAAACTGCATATGTCATCCTCGCATCACCCTTCATTTTCTAGGTACAACAATCGCGAAACTAGATCAACCCTACTGCTTTTTTCGCATTTTTCTCTTGTTCTCTTTTTCATTGCAATCTATATTTCTATGCTAATTTTAATGGTCCCAGAAATACTTTATGGTTTTGGATACAGCAAAGAAAGAGCTATCAAATGAATATTAAATGCTTGAAATCAAAATAGCACACGGTGTTCATCCAAACCACAAAAACTATTCGACTACTATCTTGAAAACCATATTTTTCATTATTTTTCTGCACCATTTATGTATATGTTAGTTCTGACTTTTCTTCAAACTAGGAATCGAATTGAGACGTTCTCAAATGCTATATAATTTAGTAATTTGCTTTATTTTGTTTTGAATTGCTTTCAACGAATGAACTCTACAAAATCAAATACTATTAGACACCCATTTGATCAATAGATCATAAATTAAATTTTGATGAAAACCTATTTTATTTACTTTTTAATCTTGTACTAGCAAAGTTACAACAAAGGTGTGGGTGTGGGTGTACTTCTCTCATTTATGCCCACACCCATACCCTCATGTTCAAGTAAGGTACATTTAAATTGTTCTACAAGAAAAATTTTACATAGAAAACAAAAAAAGAATTCTTGTAGAATATTATATATACTTTCAAGTGCATCATAAGCTTCTTGAAATAATTCTTCGTTTGTTTTTAATTTTTCTCCATCTTCTTTCATTAATTCAATATAAATTGGTTCAAGATTATAAAATACTTGATATTGTTTTCATTACATCATTTATACGTGTTATATCACTACGAGCTTGTTCAATATCAGCTGGTGGTAAAATTTCTTGATATAATGGTATTGGTGATATAGATGGTTGAGCACAATTAAGATCAAGTCCTAAGGCAACTATTTATTTTAATAGTTTTATTCAATAGAAATAGATAACAAAAAAAAATCTCTAGAATACATACCACTTGATTTATCTTTTGTCAGGTTCTTTACTCATTGATTCATCCTCTTTAGAAAAAAAGAAAACCTATATGATTGTCATAAGCAAGTTTAAAATTAGAAATCCTTGTTAAATCACTTTCGAAATTAATACAGGATATCCCATAAGTAAGGTAACAAAGAAAAAATTGAATATCTCTATTAGGATTCGAGCAAATGGATTGAGTTTTTTTTGTGCCACTAATGAAAGGATGTTCAAGCTTATATTCACAAATGTTTGTTTGAATCTCGAAAACGTAAAAATTACCTTCTGGTATTGTTTCAGGAATTTTATCAATAAAATCGTCTTTTTTTTGGGTTCATACTTTCTATCTTAAAGTATCGCTTGTTTCATTTCTATATAAATATAAATTATAAAAACAAAGATTCAAATCTAAATCCATTAAAATCTTTTTCATCAACTTCATCTTCATCATCAACTGGTTCACCAACTTCAATTTTTCTTTATCATTCCGCTAAACGTTCATTTCGTTCGTATTTAGCAAATATTTTCATTTCTTCCATTCGTCATCTATGAATATAAAATAAAAATTGGTTTTTGTTTATTTGAAATCCTAAACAAAAGCACAAAGCGTTAGTGTTCTTTTTGTCGACAATTGATGTTATGAGATGATATTATTTTTCTTATTCATCAGCTTGATAGGTCAACGAATATAGAATTTTACCATGTCTATTCTCCTTTTCTTTCTATGCCATATCAAGTAGTTTTCTGAATATTTTTCAAGGTTTTTCTTATTATTTTTATACTCGAAGTACAGTCTTCTCAAAAGAAAATCCAGTAGAAAAAAAACCAATACTAGATTATCATTTCAATTTCTTAGATGATCAATAATAAATATCATATATATTGATAATAGATTTTAATTGAAAGAGTCAACGTCTTTCTTGACGAAATGTTGCAGATCATCTATATTAACTAATCATCCATTTTGTGCGAAATCACTGTAAAAACAAAGATCTTTTACATATGTGCATTCATAATCATAGATGAATGCAATCTTCTTGTCTTAAAATACAATAAATCAAAAAAGCTCATTGACAAGATCATCTTAAAGAAAAAAACTAAATCATTTTTTTACATCTGATTATGTTCGTACGTTATCTTCATGATATCGAACATCATCATTATCTATTTCAATATCCGATCAACAATATTTCATCAACATAACACTTATTTATTGAAATGACATTTCAAAATATTCTTTTTCTCATGTTCTCGAAATTCAACATAATAGAAATCATCTTGTATTTGATTTATTTTGGGTAATAAATCATTATCAATTATTCATTTAGATATGAAATATTTATCTTGATGTAAAATCGATGAATCTTTATACATACTTAAATATAATTTGAATTAATCACTTTAAATTGAAAAATGTTTTGATATTCTGCATTATTATTTATTTTTAAGATATTTCTTGTTTGTAATTTATATCGTCTTTATATTCATAGTCAATCAACAAAATCAAACAATTGTTTGTACATTTCAATTTTTTCATTAAAATAGAAAACCATTATCTAATTCTATTTATTAATAAATGAATTTGAAACATTCTCGTATCTTAGTTCGGATCTTGTTCTTACGTACAAAGAAATTACCAATAAACAAATTCTATTAGATTTAACGCATCTATGGAGATGAAGAAAATCTTTTTATTTACATTTTTTTTTTACATGTTGAAAATGAAAATGAAACTGGTAGAATCCAAGAAATCATGATTCAAAAAGGTATTCAACATGATAAACAATTTGTATATATGTATTGCTGACTTGTCGAGTTCAAATGATATTTAATTTGATTGTTATCTTGCATAATATTTTAAATGTTACTCTTAGTTAGATTTTTATTTGTTTATCATATTTGTTGTTTTCCTTTTATTTCTAGTTGATTTAATGTTATGATTATTGAAACATATATATAGTTTATTTAAAGAAACTATTGTGACTTCGAGGATGGCAAAGTTTTTTAATTTTCTTGATATTGAACATTTACTAAGTAAACAAACAACTTGAAATAGTAAAATATCCTTGTTTTTGATAATGTAGAAAAAGAAATTATGATTTAAATGAAGTTATCAATATATTTTTAAAAAGTCTTACTAAGAGCTAAAAAAGGTCCACCTTATATTAGATAATTTGTTAATTCAATTAAAAAGTTAGTAATAAATAATCAGTTGATTATTTTTTCTTGTTAGGTTTGTATTTTTTTCAATTTGATTTTGATAGACTCTTAAAGATGATTTAATCATCATATTTGCCGAGAAATTTTCGTAGTTTTAAAGATTTTCAGTTTTGCAAAAACTACATTGCCACTTACATTAGTATTGAATAGAACATTTTTATATTATCCAGCAAGTCAGATGGCATTTACTACCTTTATCTCTTACGGAGTTTAAAACGATCCACTGGAATGAATTAGTAATATACCGTTGTAATATGATTTTCTATGGATTCGAATAAAAAAACTCAATTCTAAATTTGTTTATTGTTTTTCTCAGAACACACTCTCCAATTAGAAAAATTGAATGTTTTAGTCATTCCAAAAATGGGTCATGAATCAGCTGGAACGCTGATCTAATACGGCTAATAGGGCTCAAACTTTTAGCAAAATCATATCTAACCAGACTGAATCATCCCTGAAAATTTCAGCTCAAATGTACTATCCCAAGAACGACCTTGAAAAGAACATTGTTTTATTATGTTATTAAAGAACTTCATTTCAGTTTTTTGAATCTTTTTTATTATAATTTATATTCTGTTGTGGTAAAAAAAATTTGGACCATATCTAAAAACTTTGCGTATATTGCTCATTGTTTTTTTGATACGATAGAAGTTTGTCTATTGGTTTAAAACTCTTAGTGACGCCACTATCATTACTATAAATTTACAAATGGTTTTTTTGTACTACAATAGCCAGTCTTTTCTCAGGAGTGCTAAAAAAAAAAGATGAGCTTTGAATTTCAAATTAAACTTTGAAACCAGAAAAATCTCAATAAGGATACCTCATTGCAAACATTTCAGATCGTCTAGTTGTTTCTATCTAAAGATAGTGTCATAGTAAAACTATATTTCAAATATTGATAACATACAATAGCAGATTCTGACATCTTGTTGCAGAAAAACACCAACAGAAATATCTAAAATTTTGATAATAGACTATTTCATCAAGGCTTTTCTCTGCAGAAAACTTCAAAATAGAATTCAGCATTATTTTCCCAATGATTCTGACAGAAACAATAGTATCGAACTAAAAATATTGCGAATGTGTAATAGCCGAGAAGCAAGAAGCTACAGACATGAATTATATCAGAATTTTCATAGCTTTTTTGAACTTATATGATTTACTGAGTCATAATTGAAGAACAAATTGATGATTACGAGCGTTTCTTTGTTTCATTATAATAAAGAATTGCATCATTTATAACTCTTGAAAATAAATCGAAGCCTGTTTTCATAATCATCAAGAGATTGAGAACGAAAACGAAGAAGTTTATTTCGATACTTTTTCATGCTGAAAAAATGCTGCTCAATCATTTAAATATGAATTGAAGATAATAGGTAAATTCGATAGTGTACAAATTAACAAAACCGTTCATTATTATTAACATATTTTTGGAGATGGATCATTGTAAAAACGATTGATTTAGGAATTAGAGTTGAAAATGTCACAATCGATTTCTTAGCTAATAATAACAGAGAAACTGTTAAAACAAAGAGATTTTTAATGGAATACTTGTTCTATCACAAAACGAATTCAAAACCATAATTCACGATTAATGCAATTAGAATAGATTTTTTTATTGCAACATAAATCTAGTACTACTAAAAAAATCCCAGCAAAATAAATCAACAGTAACACAATAAATTAAAGCTTACAAAATAATACCGTTCTCTTACATTTAATACGTTTGCTTTCCAATCGATTTGTTTCTTTTACAATTAAAATGAAATAATATTTCATAATTTAATTGGAAAAATCAATACAGTAAGTGTACTTCAGACTTCATTTTATCATTACAACATATTAAAACAATTGTTTGAAGGATTCAATTGAAGCATAATAATGAAGAAAATGTAAAATAATTTATGAATAAATATATGTGGCAGCATTGTTTAGAAGAGATTATTATTTTTATTTTTATTTTTATTTTTAATAATTATTCTAATAAACAAATACTACCATTATTTAGTTCATATCTTACTTATTTAACGAAATAACTATATTACTATAATTTTCGCATGCAGTTAAAAAAATCTCTTATTTAAACTTAATACTTTTAACACTAGAATTTTTGTTGATATTTAATCTTTAATCGTTCTACTAATTTCATATGTTGAGCCATTTCGATAATCGATAGTACAACTATCTTTACTTTTGTATTAGTAATACAAAAAAATTTTGTATATGAAAAAGATGGAAAAAAACAAGTTTATTCTTTGATTAAATAAAACAATTTTAAACAAAGAAAAACAAATACTATTCACATAAAGCATTTACATGTGAAATAAACATTAAGTTATTTTTTTGATATCTGACTTTTTGATAAAAATTTTACAAAAATATAATGAACAGACAATAATATACACACACGATTTTAGATCTTGAAGATTGCAACAAAATAAACATGTGTTTGATTCAATAAGATAGATCATTCAAATATCGATTCATTAATAAATGCTTGTGGAAATTGTTTTATATTAAATAAGTCATATGATTATTTTATTGTGTGGAGCATGTTCATCTGTAAGAAAACCTAAAAAAAAGAGCAAATTCACAAAAAAACGTTGTTCATCTAATTTTCTATTCTACCTTACACCTATTGAAAATAATTCTGTTCATTGATAATATTCAATAGAAATTGTTCCACTAATGATAATATACAAAATTTCATTTGCATCATATGAATATATAAGAAATGAAGCATCTATTAAAATATTTTCATTTATTGATAATGAAGAGGTATATATATACATAATAAAAGCAATCAATGCTTGCAGATGATTGATATCTTTATGAATAGATATTGTTTTTCATTTTGTATTAAATTATTTTTGGTAATTAATCAATGTTTTCTTATTGAGATTTTTGTAGCTCAACATGATTCAAGAACACCAAGAGAAAATAGAATAAAGAAATAAATTAATCTACACAATAATTGGTAAAAGGATTAAATCAATGGAAGAGTAGAATAATGTCAATCTAATTGGTTAAATATTGAAAAAAGAATTTTTTTTCACATAAGAATAGCATATAAACCTAATACACCATATTCGGAATGTACACAAATATGCATCTTTTTTTGTTTAAGTTTTTTGGCTTTTACAAATTCTTGAATCTGTAGTTGTTCGTTTTGTTGATTTTCTAGAAACAAAAAACAAATACAGTTAATAAATATATTTATTTAAAAAAAGTAAACGTGGAATTATATGAAAAATCTTTCAGCATTACCCATGAGCAAGTATAAAGCTCACTGCATTACTTCAATTAAATTATGTGTTTTATTAGTCTGAAATCAAAAGCTTTTCCTTTATTGTTTTCGATTAATCTCAATTGAATGTTGAAGTTTATGTAACTTACTCGATAAACAAAGACCTGTGGTTAAACTTTTGAAATTTCGACAAGCGTTTCGAGTACCATTTTGACTTAACTAAAATAAATTGACAAATTAAGTGTATTGTTAATAAAAACAAAAAAAACCTTGTTCGAAAGACGCTTATAAAGCGTGAAAATAATCTTGGACTCAAAATAAAATAAGCCAATGTAGAATGAATATCTTAGAAAGAGTGGCATATAGCAGTCTTTAGTTTCAAGTAGTTGAAAGAATTTAGAGCATGTTTTCACAGATTCAATATATAAGAATGAACTAGTCGAGAATATTATTGGGAAAAACATTTCACGTGTATGATAATTTTCTGTGATTCTGATAAACTTTTAAGAGCAAGTGACAATTTATGTTCAAATCATAACGATTATTTAATTACAGATGGAATAGATACCTAATACGGTTTGATTAGCGTTACAAAGCAAGATGATACTCTCCTACGAGTCATGTTCGATAATGCATATGAAGTCTCAAGACAGATGTACTTACATTTATTGTGGCCTGCTTCCAGCTCTTTCACTGCATTGGCAATGGAACATTTGAATTGACTTTCACTAAAGAATGTTTGTGGATATTGTTTGAAATCAAATCGTTAACTTACATAAATATTGAATGTAATATTTCATCATCATGAACTTTGTATCCGAGACGAATCAGTTGTTCAAGATCAGTTAAAGTATCTAAAGAAAACTTTTGTTTAGCGAAAAGGCAAGAAGATTCTATAAGTGTTGAATCAGAATATATCAAGCAATCAGATAAAAATCAAGAAAATTATTATTCATGGATTTGATTTATTTCTAAAAATTTATTGCTTACCTTTATAATTTTCATCTTGAAAATTAGCTTGTAGTCGATATTTTAAACATCGAATAAGAACCATCTTATCGTTGTCTGCTATTGGAGCTTTATAACGATCAACAATAATAGTAATTGTCTAAAATTATCAATAGCAGTCACTATGGATTACAATAATCCTGCCCACTTACTTGAATAGCTTCTTTCAAATTTCCCATCTCAAAGTGGTTGAGAAAATTCACGAAAAGCTCGAGTCCATCAGTCATTTCTACAAGGAAAAAAAATCAGTGTTTCGTTCGAAACAAAATTTTTTCAAATGAATGTTTGTGAAGTAAAATAATACGCTATTATATATTATACTTAAACAATGGAAAAATGACCGGCCGTAGTGTAAATGAAATACAATATAGACCTGGTGAAAGCTAGACCAACTCGATCATTGAGCCTGACGAACAATAATGATTCTATCACATGATTCGTTAACCAATAGATATCTTAATACTCGAAGAATACCATTAAAGAGAGGCAGAAAATAAATATGTTTTCGAAATGACCGCCGTAATGATGACATATTTGATTTATAATTTGATTCATTCAGGATATTTTACTGGTTTATTTTATGTTCAATAGAATCGAACAATAAAAAATACTTTAAAAAAAAAAGAAAAGGTTGCGTTTCTTAGAAACATGACATTCAAAAAGCATAACTTATTTTTAAATAAAAACAATTTATTACTATATTAGTAAAACCTTTTTCTCTTTAGAATTATTTGATGAAGCTCGTTTGGCTAAATATAGAGCTTATTGTCCTTATTCATACTTTCGGTATGATTTGATATTATTTACATGATATGTTTTTCGTGTTAACTGAATAGAGTAAGAGCAGCTTTATTAACATCAACTGGAAAAATATATACTGGATGTAATGTTGAAAATGCTTCATATCCATTATCAACTTGTGCTGAACGTACAGCCATTGTTAAAGCTGTATCTGAAGGTGAACAATCTTTTCAAACAATTGCAATTACATGGTAAGTTTATCTTTAAACAGGAAGAAAAAAATTATCACTATATAATTCTTTTTGTTTAGGAATGTTGAATTAGATTTTACTGGTCCATGTGGTTCATGTCGACAAACATTAGCTGAATTTGGTCTTGATTTAGATGTTTATCTTATAAATACAAAAAATGAATCAAAAATATATAAATTTCAAGATTTATTACCTATAGCTTTTATACCTCACGATCTTGAAAAACCTCGTGCAAATTATTATGCTATTGAATAATTATGTTTTTTTTTGTTTTAATAAACATGATAGACAATAGTTTAGGAATCTATTTTTTCTATTTTGCATTTTCAGAAATGTTTGATTCCGAATCCGAATCACGATTACAAAAAGAAGAATCACGTCATAATTTTTCTTCTACATCAAGTCAACGTGGTCCTAGTAAGACTATTCAATAAATTAACTTTTAATATTTATTACATTTTTCTCTAGCTACTTGTGCTCTAGGTCATATAATTGATTATACAAAACCAGATATAACTATATTATGTGACATATGTAAATTTTTTTTGAAATATCAGTGAATTGAAAATTCATACAGCTTATCATAATGCATTAAAATTATTTAAACTCAAAGTAAAAAAACTTTGATTTATTGTTTTTTTTTTGAAAAAATCTTGTTTATAAAAAAAAGGATATGCCAAAATAGAATAGATGTAGTACTTAAACGTCGAGATTTACTTATACAACGTATGCAACGTTTAAGAATATCTGAAGAATCTTATTTGAAATATGTTAAAACTATTAATGATGCATTTCAAATTATAAAACGAACTATTGAACCTTATTATTATGAAGATAATTCATGTATATATGATAATCGTGAAGCATCGAATGTACAAGGTGATTTTTATTTTCTTATTAAAATATATGTTTGTAGATAATACTAATTATCTTAGGTTATAAGTTTTACACCACGTAATCGAATGTTTCTTAGTATTGGTATGTATACTAATCAAAATAAACAATATAAGCCTGATATGGACGATACAATGAGATTTATTGATTGTTTCGGTATGAAAAATAAGGAAAAATAGAAAAAAAAAATTTTGTCATCTATTTTTTATCTAATTCTTAGATTCAATACTATTTTATTATTAACTCACATGCTACTTTCTTATAGAAACCTGGTACACTCGTATGTCATGTACACCAATATAAAATTAGTATGGTCGTCTTATGCTTTATGCTTATATTTTTTTTATGATACTGAAAGAAAACAAACATCATCGTCGTGTCTCGAGAACCGATGTTTCAACTCTTTTCTGAATAATACATATAAAATAATAAAGCATTTCATTTAATTTTCGGTGGTAAAGAAAAATTTTCTTATATTGGTTTATTTGATGGTTATAATGGAAAAGCGGCTAGTACATTATGTCGAGAACATCTTCATGAAGCTATTCTAATGGAAATGTCTAAATTAATAAAAGATATAAATATTTCCGAAGCTGAGCAAGCTCTTATCAATCGTCTTTATACACGTATGGTTGATCCAAACAGTGAATATTTTAATATAAAAAATATTGATGATGTATATCGTTTGGTTTATATAAAAATGGATCATCTTTTATTACGTGGTATTCATGAAACATCAAGTGTTCGTTGGAGTGGTACATCAACATTTACAGCTGTTGTTGTAGTTAATGATAAAATTGAAGATTTGTTAGTTGATATAGAAAATCATGATGATGATGATAAAAAAATCATATTATTCTTGATCATATTCATGTAGCTAATTGCGGTAAATTTCTGTTTTTTGCTGTTTCTTATAGAAAATAGTTTTCATTTTTTTAAAGAAAATGTTGAAGCATTAGGTATTCAAGCTGGTGAAGTTGTTTTAATGTCTCAAAAACATACATCAATAAATAAACGTGAACGTGAAAGAATATTAGAAACAGGTAATAACATTTTTTCTTAAAACAAAAAAAGAACTTCATTTGTGTGCATTAATATATACAATTTAGGTGTAAAAATAAGTGAAAATGATTTAATTGCTGGAATACATGAAACAACACGTGGATTAGGTAATCATGATGATAAAGATATAAAAAAATGTGTTATCAATTCACCTTATTATTGGACATATGAAATTGATCCATCATTAGAATGCATCATAATAGCTACAGAAGGTCTTTGGCAAGTTCTTCAATATGATATTGTTGCTGATATTGTTATACAAGTAATACAAGAAAAAACAAAGAACTTTAATTTCATAAAAATTTCTATGTTCTATTAAATAGTGTTTACCAGCACATCATATGCCAGCACCTAGTCGTATGGAAACAGTACTTCAATCTGTACTTGAAAGATATGGAACAGTAACACATACCCTTTATTTAACAAATGATGATGATACGATAGCTGATTGTAGAAATGAAATGTTATATTTAATTGAAGAAGAAAATCAATTTAGTAATAATGAAAATGTTTTTTTTCTACACGTAATCGTGCAGTACAATGTTCTGAAAATGATATTCATCAAGAAATATGGAAACCTTTATTAGCTCAACATTGTCTTCGTCTTGAATGAGCACAAAAAATTTGCTGAACGTCTTGTTTCAGCAGCAATTTTAGCACAATCAAAAACAAATGTTAGTGTCATGTCTGTTATTAGCCGATGCAGCTGTTTAAAAGCTTCATTTTTTTGTCAAAATAAAAAAAAACATTTGAGAGTAAAAAATAAGATTTTACTAAATTTATTTAAGGCATAAAACAAATGTTCTTCTCTGTTTCTTTTTGCTTTGATGTTAACCAATTTAATGTAGGCACATTTTGTCGTAAGGCAAAAAATGTTTCATATTTGACATTATATTCTAGTGTTCGTTTTTCTGATGGCTTATAATGTACAGTTGTTTTTTCAGCTAAATAACTAATAAGTTCACATTGTTCTTCAAATATATATAATTTTCTACGAAATTTTTGTCGTATATAATCCGAACTTGTTGTATTAACCAGTGTGAACTTAGCCGGACGACCAATCAGAATCATTTGCATATTCAGCTAAGCATATAAGGAGCAGAAAATACCTACGTCCATCCACCAAATACCAAAGAATTTTACATGGCAACCATAACTTACAAAAAAAGATATATGGCCGTATGAGCTTTGCACTCAACTATATTCAAAAACTAAGCACCCAAAAACAATCAAAAACAACAAAAACGTACCAATCAACACTTCTCTCACCTAAAAGCTTTAGAAATGGACTCAACAACTGTGTTGCCAGAGGCTACGCATAAATCTCGTGAATATCTAATTAGCTTACACATTACGCGTACTTACATTAAGCGATTGTAAATTTGTGCAATTTTTTAAATGCCAATAATCGATACAGCTGGTCGAGTTGTTATAAAAAAATATATTTTAACTTTTGTAAATGCCGTAGTAAACTAGCACAAATTCGAAAATGATCATCCGATTTGAGATGATCATCACGGCTTGTTGTTGCATAAGTTTTCAATATGATGATGTTTTGGTTACGTGTGTAGGATGTTTTGAATATAAGTAGATGTTTCATGAGCATATGTTATCAGTTGAATGTGTTACAGTTTGCGTCATGGAAAATATCTTATTCAATTGTGAGCGACAGAATTGTTAAAATTACAATGACTCTTGAAATTTATTTTGTTGTAATCATGCTATTCTGGATCGCATATTGAGAAATTTTATAGGTTATCCAAAAAAATATGCACGCATTTCATCAACAGTTGAATAGTTTTTCATTGCTTGTTGGCGATTGCTTTATGATTCAAGTGAGATTTGGTGGCTATAGTATGCAGGATGATGTTCCTGACTACTGTTGTATCTAAACTAC